GTGTGTGTGTGTGTGTACATGTACGTCTATTTGTGTGTCTGTGACTCTGGGGTGTGATTTGTGGTCTGTGTGCGTGTGTAAGTGCAGGTGTGCATGCACATGTCTGGGTGTGTGTTTTGCCTATCTACCCCTGTCATTGCGTCTGGGTGTATGTCTTCTCCGCAACTATTCCTGCCTGAGGTCTGTGCGCATCTGTCCCTGTGTGTGTTTGCGGGTCTCTGTCCTCGTCTGGGCCCGCCTGGCTGAGGCTGTGGTGTGTGTGCGATGTGGCAGCCCTTACCTGTTGCCAGCACAGCTGTGGGGCCACCCTCTCTTGTTGTGTCTGCTGCCTCTCTCTCCATCCCTCCCTCCTGACAGCTCAGAAGTGTTCACTCCCTTGAGGCCACCCAGAGACAGATGTGGTGCGGTGGGGGTGTGAGGTGCTGCTCCTAGGGAGGCAGGGACCGGGCCAGCTGGGCCCACAGAGGTTCCCGGCAGTGCGAACACTGCCCACAGGGGCTCCCAAGCCGCAGCCTTGATTGAAGCCGGCCCTGAAGGCAGGAGACCCAGGGGACAGGCCAAGAGGGGCCAGGAGGGGTGAGGGGCAGCCCTTGGGCCCTCTATATTTAGCCCCATTTTCGGTAAGTGCTAACGAGAAGCTGGCCCAAGTCTGCTAAAACCGGCTGGGGGAAATGCAGAGGAGAAGTGAAAGTCCGGGGAGGGAGGGGCAAGGGAGGGGTGGGGAGGGCGGAGGGGACCCAGAGTCCCAGGCCTGAGGCAGTGGGGCAAGTGAGTGTGACCCCAAGGGTGTGGGTAGCCCTGGGTGTGTCTGACTCCAGGATGGTGGGATTCAAGGGGCCCGGTAGAATTCTGCATTGCTTGTTCCTGCCTGGCCCTCTAAAGAGTTATACACTACCTGGGATGGGAGAAGGGAGGGGTGACTATGGTCATATAACCGAGCAGCCTTTCTGTGTGAACGAGGCCTTGAGATGAGCTTCGGAAAGCGCCAGGGAGCTGGAGCATATTAGATCACCTGGTGGGGGTAGGGGTGGGGGCTTTTCAAAATCCAGATATCCAGGTCTTCCCTTGTCCCATTGAAAGCAGAGTGTCTGGGTGGGAATAGGTGTCAGTGTTTCTCTAGAGTCAAGAGAGAGGGGCCTGGGCCAAGGCCGACAGCCTGCAGGACGGGCGCCTCAGCAGGCCTCTTAAGGGGATTGTCAACGCCCTTAGATGTTAAGGCATCATTTGGCTTTGGATTTGTGGTGGAAATGGAGTCCCCTCTTCATCCTTGGTGGGGATGATATGATGACACCCTTTTTTCAGATTGGGTTCTGATGGGGGCAGGAGGAAAGAAAAACAAGACAGGCTTGGGCAAAGGGCAACACTGGCCATTTTGCTGTCAACCCAGCCAAATGCTGCAGGGGTGCCTGGGCTGTGTGAGAGTCGGGGTGGGGGGAAGAATTAGGGAGAACAAGGGAAACAGTGGTGGAGATTTCCTCTCATGCCACCTTTGCCTCTCAGCCACTGTCCCTGCAGAAATTACTTTAAAGGTTTAGGTTGGAGTTGCTTGGGGATTGGGGCTCAAGGTCAAGGTGGCGGGTAGCAGCAGGGAGACAGGCTTGTCTGGGACAAGATTGGGTCCTGGTCTGTTAGAGATTCTTGCATGCATTCATTCATTCCAAAGACACAGTCCCAGCCAGGGCTGTTGGGCTCTAAGGAGCTCACAGTCTGGGGCAGGGGGAATCCATTGCCCAGGGCGTCAGGGTGTGTTAGGGGGCAGAGGCAGGGGGTTCCCAGATGAGAGAGACACTAACCACCTGAGGAGTCAGGGAGGACTTCATAGAGGAGGTGATGTATGAGCTGGGACCTTCAAAAGGAGCAGGAGTTTGCTAATCGAGAAGAGGTCGCCAGGTAGGGAGAAGAGCAGAGGGTAAGGCCTGGAGGGAGGAGGGAGATCAGAGCCTCAGGGCACCCTTGTGCACTCAACCCACACGTCCTGGGCTGGGCAGTGTTGGGGACCCCAAGATGAGTCAGACCTGCCCTCAAGGGGTCCTAGTCTGACGGGGAAGACGTACTGGGGCCCAGACGGCTACAGCCAGGGGAGAGGGCCGGGCCAGCGGGAGCTGGGGTGGAGGGAGCCGCCATCATAGAGGACAGAGCCTGTGCTGGGGCCTGAAGGATGAGTAGGAGGTCGCCAGGCAGACAGAGTGGGGGACAACCTTCCAGGCAGAGGGAGAGAGACAGCAAGACCGAGGCAGGAACGAGTAGAGAGAGAGCCGCAGGGAGGGACGTTCAGCCAACATTTAACACCTACTCTTCTGAGCTGGGGGACACCAGGGGGCCAGCAGTTAGTCAGAGCAGGCCTGCTCCCTGGTCTGGTGGGAAAGGACAGGGACACAGAAGGCCACGGCCCTGTGGGCTCAGGGCTAGGACAGTGAGAGGGCAGGGCTGTGGGAGGCTGTATTATTTTCCCAGGGCTGCCGTCATGGACTACTGTACGCTGGGTGGCTTAAACAACAGAAATTAATTTTCCTGAAATCTGGAAGCTAGAAGTCCAAGGTCAAGGTGGCAGTGGGGGTGGTTTCTTCGGAGGTCTCTCTCCTCGGCTTGGGAGGGCTGACTTCGCCCTGTGTCTTCACGTGGGCTTCTTTCTGTGTGTCTATGTCGTCCCAGTTTCCTCCTCTTATGAGGACACCAGTCATATTGGATTAAGGCCCACCCTAATGGTCTCATTTAACTTGGTTACCTCTTTAAAAACCCTATCTGGGCTGTTCTTGGGGAGATGGGGAGCTGTGGAAAGGTTCACGGCCAGGTTGTGGGAAGGATCTCCCTGGGGCTAGATGGACACTGGCTGGGAGGAGGGGGCCGGCGAGGGGGTTGGAGCAGGGGTCTCAGGGATGTTAGGAGGGGTGGGAGGCAGGACCCCACTAGCATCAGCAGTTGCCCGGAGCTGGGCCAAGTTCTGGGCCATTTAGAGGCAGGATTAGGCAGGACTCCTGCCTTTGATGTCCCAGAGTCAGAAGTGTGGTCTCTTACCTGGGACTAGGACCTGGGTCCTCCTCCTGTGCCTCAAATGATCATTAGCCACTCACCACCATCCTAGTGCCTAGAAGCAGGGCCTGAGCCCCCATAGCATCCTGGGCCCCTGCTCCCCACACCACCCTCACCAGCCTATGCCTTAATAGTACCATATCCTGGCTTTTTTTTTTTTTTAGCTTTTAAGTTTTTTTTTTTTATGTGAAAACATACCTACAGTAAGTGCTCAGATTTTAAGGGTGCAGCTTGATGCATTTTTCTCTATGTATAGAACCACATAACCACCAAACAGATGACAATACTGAACATTTCCAACCCCCTACAGGCCTCCTCACGCTCATTCCCCGTCAGCAACCCCCAGACGTTACCCATAATCTGACCTTGGCCATCTGATATCATCTTGCCTGTTTCTGAGCTTCCTGTAATTGGAATCCTACTGTCTGTCCGCTTTTGTGTCTGATGTCTTTCCCTTGGTGTCGTGCCTGCAAGATTCAGTGGTGCGTGTGATGCAGGAGTTTCTTCCTTTTCTTGCTGTGGGGCGTTTCATTGTATGGACATACCACATTGTGTCCATCCTCTGATAGGCCCTTGACTTGTTCCCAGTTTGGGGAAGGGGCTGCTGTGTGCCCATGGGCTTGGGGGGGCAGGATGCTCCTCTGTCTCCCCACGGTGCTCGGGAGTGGATGTGCTGGGTCCTAGGGAGGGGGAACCTCGTCAGTTTTCCTGACTTGTGCTTGTATCGATTTACACTCCCACGAGCAGTGTGTGACCTGGCTTTTTAATCAAGAATTTTAAACCAGAGCGGCGTTTCATGTCGAGTAACCCTTGATTGCAAAATTCCTGGACATTTTTTTTTTTTTCCAGTTGCTGAGGACGTCCTAGCTCTCGTTAGCTGGCCTTCTTTCAATATCTTGGGCGCGGAACGCGCTTGAATTGGACAGCCCCTTTGATAGGGCATCGTGGTTTAGGCAGGGATGTGGAGTGAGTGGTGGGGGAGACCTTGGGGTCAGAGTCAGGGTCACGAGTAAGGTCTGAGGCCAAGCTGGGAGTCAAGGTCAGATGAAGGACTTGTACCATCTGGGTGGGAGTTGGGATTCAGGGTAGGTAAGGGGACTGAGAATGGATAGGGAAGAAGCCTAGGTTTGTGTGGGGTCTAGGACCAGAAAGGTTTGGGTTCAAGTCGGCGTCAGTCAGGGTGAACTTGAGTAGGGGTGACAGCTGGAGATGAGGTGGGTGGAAGTCACAGCAGGGGGCCCACTGGACCATAGCAGTCCTGATGAGAAGCGGGAACTCTGGAGTCATGAAGACAGGTGTCCAACTGGGGCACTTCTGCTGTCTCACTGTGCACTCGGGCCCTCAGTTTCCTCCTCTGTAAAATGGGGGTAATATTAGCACCAACTGCTACTGTGAGCTCTGAATCATACTTAACACTGTGCTTGGCACTGGTAAGTGCTCACCTTTCCCTCCTCAGCATCACAGTGTTGTGAGGGAAGAGCAATGCTTTGTGGCCCCAGGGCCAGCTTGCTGTTTGCCCCCTCCCCTCATGTCCTGGGTTTATGGGAAGATAGCAGGGGATTGCATTTGTAGGCTGGGGCACCCGGCTTGGATCTGGGCGTGCAATGGGGATTCAAGGCTTAAGTCCCAGGTGAGGCCTAGGAGTAAGTCCGAGGACCTGGTCAGGGGCAGAGCCGGGTGGTGTTGGAGTCGGAGTTCCAAGTGGCGAGTGGGGCTGCCGGGCCTGTGAGCTGAATGTGAGAAAGGAGGCCGGGAAGCCAAGTCGGGGTCAGGTGTGGACAGGAACATTGTGGGCTGGGGGAGGGGCAGAGGGTGCCAAATCCCACGCAGAGTTCAGAAGACTCACTCCTTTGGGGATGCTGCAGCCCTTCACACCCCCAGGCCCCACTCAGAGTGGAAAACATGTCTCACCCGAAACCTGGTGAGGCAGGACGGGCACGCCTCGGGAGGAGGCCTGAGGCTGACTCGCTCCTGTGGAACATCACCCACCTCCTCCTGGGCACCGAAGCCTTCTCACGACCACCGGCTACCTCCCACCCTGCCCCAGGGCCTCACGGGAGGTGGCCCTCCCCGTGCCACCTTCTGCAGGGCTGAAAAGGATCCCTTTCTTGTCCTGCCAGAGGAGGGCAGAGGCCCAGTAAGGAGGGCATGTCTCCTGGAAAGAGGCACTTACAAGGTGGCAGGGAGTGCGGGGGATTTGGAGAGAGGCTAGGGTGGTGCTGGAGGAGGGCCCAAGAGCCCCCCAGGCTTCCCTCACCCCACTTACATCCTTCTTTTGTCCCCAGAAATAAGAATGTCTAAGCCCCTGGAGGCCGAGAAGCAAGGTCTGGACTCCCCATCAGAGCACACAGGTGGGTGGGGAGGGGAGCAGGGAGGGCAGGGGGCCTGTGGGGTGGGGGGAGCTGAGGGGCTGTGGGGGCACAGGTGACAACTCACTCTTTCCCTCTCGTTGCAGACACTGAAAGAAATGGACCAGACACTAACCATCAGGTCAGGAGGGAGTAGATGAGCAGGAGGGGTTGGGAGGGGCAGAAGGGAACAGAGGGGGGCCCCTGTGGGGGAGGGGCATGCTGTCAAAGGCTGCTTCACCTCACTCTTCCCATTCCCCACCCCAACTTTTTCTTCCCAGAACCCCCAGAATAAGACCTCCCCGTTCTCCGTGTCCCCAACTGGCCCCAGCACCAAGGTAAGAACCTATCAGAACGTCCAGGGCAGGGGAACGAGGAGGGTGTCCTGTGATGGGTTAGCGTCTGGGAGAGGGTCCCGCACATCTTTGTGGGCCCAGGGCCTGAAGGGGGGGCACGGAGCCCCGACACCTTGGTGACAAGACTCCTCCCGCCCCTTCTCACACTCAGGCTCCCGCCCCAGGCCTGTGACTCACCCAGGCTCCTTCCCCTTCCCTGGGGGGTGGGGGTGGCCAGGGAAATCCCCCCCAGAGCCCCAGGGCGATGAACAACAGGAAGCTGAGGGCCCCGCCCCCATCCCAACTTCCCTGACAGGGGCCTGCCCTACCCCCAGCCCCCCAACACACACCCTCAGGGGCCAGCCAGTAGAGGGGGGTATGGGATGGGAGGCAGACTCAGGAAGGATGGCTGAGGTTGATGGGGAGGCTGGAAGTGGCCAGACAGAACAAATCCCTAATCCAGATGGGGCCCTGCCTGTTTCTGGGCACTGCTGGGCTTCCTGAGGTGTCTGGGGCCCAGGCCTCCATGCTCCAGCCTGGTGGGGGCAGCCACAGGCCCAGAGGCCTGAAAGCAGCATGGAGGGCAGGGGCAGAGGGGTCCTCTGCAAGGGATGGGGTTGGGGGCCGGGAGCTACTCCGTGACCCTGGGAAAATCACTCCCCTCCGCCCCCCACCGCCCCACCACTGCTGGGCTTCTCGGTTTCCTCTTCTCTAACATGGGGGGCTGTCAGATCCGATGGCCTCTGAGGTGCCCTGATGCAGCTTAGTGGGTGGGTATCTTGTGCTGAGTGAGTTGGCCAGGGCCCAGGGGAGGAGGGCTCTGGCTCTGGCCTCCTTCCCTCTGATCTTAGGCGCAGTTCTGGCCTTAGCCCTCGAGCAGAGCGCGTGCCCATCGTCCTGACCCTTTCCCTCCTCAGCTGTGTCTTTGCAGCCCCTCCCAGCCCCATGGCAGCCTTGCTTCTCTGTGGGGAAACCAGGGGAGCCCTGGAAAGGAAGGGTCCTTGCCGCCCTTCCCTGGCCTGGACCCTGGTTCCTCGGGAAAACCGGAGGCAGAGAGGGCGTTGACCTCTGACTCCGGGCCTCTGTCCACACCTCGTCCTGTTTGAGGGCAGCCTCTGCTTTCCCCAACTGCAGTGATTCATGTGCTCCCGTCACAATTTCAGACACATCCACACACCACCGTGTACAATTACTTACATCACAATCGTGTTAATTGGCTTCAGTTTTAAAAACATTTTATTTCGGAAAATGTGAAGCAGATACAAAAGGAGAAGAAAAAGAGTATCATGAAAATAAGCCCCCAGGTACCCATCCATCAGCTTCAACAATTTTCAGCTCGTGAACTGGCTTGCTTTTTCAGCAGCTCAAATACGTGTTTTTTAAATGGAAATTTCATGAATGGAAAACCAGCATCTCTTGCCATGGAAATAAATACAATGATTAATTTTTTTAAGTAATCTCCATGCTCAACGTGGGGCTTGATCTCACGACCCCGAGATCAAGCATCTGTGCTGTACCGACTGAGCCAGCCGGGTGCCCCAACACAGTGATTATTAAAATGTACCCAGAGACTCTTGCCTGCTGACGGGTCTAAGCCTGAGGCCTTTCCTTCATTCATTAGAAAGGGAGATGAGCAGTGTTGGGGGTGAGGCATTAGAACTATCCTAGCACCTAATGGAGGCTTTCTCAAGAGAACCAGAAGGAATGAAAGAAATCTGAAAGAGGACTAGTATCCTCACCATGTTGGTTGTTTTTTGTTTTTTAACTTTTAATTGGAATGTGACACACGCAGAGATCTTCAGTGGGTTTCACAAACTGAACACCCATGTTGCCCACACTGGGTCAAGAGGCAGAACACAGCCAGACTTCCAGGGGCCCTCAAGTCCCCACGAGCGGATGCTGCATCCCTGCACCCCGTAAACTTTCTGACATTTGTCTCCATTCCCTGGGCCATGCCACTCACCCTCTGTGATCTGGCCTTTTCCAGGCCTCTGTTCATCTCACTCTGAATTCCAAATGCTACACCCCCCTGCCAAGCTGCTGTGTCACCTTGCACAAGTCGCTTTCCCTCTCTGGATCCCCTTTTGCAAAATGGTGCTGGGACATCGGGCTGAAGGATTAGGGATCATCCTTCAGCCCAGTGTCCCCTCTGGGCCCGAGAGTGTGATTCTGCAAGCCATGCCTCCCCCCAACCCCACATGTCCTTTACCAGCCGACCTCTCAGGCAAGCCAACCGCGGTCTGGCCTTCCTGTCTAGGAGAGGAGGAAGGCCAGGACTGCTCTATGCTGGTCTGTCCTATGTATTTGATGCGAGGTGCATCTACATCCTGCACAGAGATATGAGGAGGGGCTCAAGGGACTTCTGGGGTGGAGGCTGAAAGCTGGCAGCATCTGGGCCACATCTGGCCTGTGTATGTGCTTGGCTGGTCCTGCCAGCGTTTTTGGCGCTTTTTTTTTTTTTTAGGTTGTTTTGGGTTTTGCTTTAGATTTTGAAATGAATGGTTGGTGGGAGCAGAGGAGGAGCTGGGCAAGCTTCCCCTCCAGGAGGGCCGCACATGCCGCCAGCCCACCTCATCCTCGTCAGCCCACGCCACCTGTTCGCACTGTCTGCCTCTTTCCATACTCATTTGAATTCCGATCCAGGTTCCAAGTCGGTGGTTTTTTTTTTCATAACCTAAGACCCGTTCTTCCAGTGAAGTCCTACTTCATTAATGAGAGATGCACCTCTGGCTAAAGCAGATGAGGGAGGGGCACCTGGGTGGCTCAGTTGTTAAGTATCTGCCTTCAGCTCAGGTCATGATCCCAGTGTCCTGGGATCGAGCCCC